ATTTGGTGAAAGGCTTCGACTTAGCTGATTTTAGAGAACACTGTTGTTTCATGTAGAGCTGATGTGAAATCCTGAATGTTAGGCAAGGGATACCGGTCGGGAATAGTTTTTGCGTTCAGCGAACGGTAGTCTCGGCAGGGTCTCCAGTCACCTGACTTTTTGGGGACGAGTTGGAGAGGAGACGCTCAGCTGCTCGATGATGGTCGTATTATTCCGAGTTCCAACATGTGTTCAAACTCAACCCTGGCTACTTTGAGCTTATCTGGAGCAAGTCGCTGTGGGTGAGTGAAAACAGGTGGACCAGTGGTGATGATATGGTGGCAGACATCATGTTGCACAGGTTTTGTCCAGTCATGCGGTTGTGTGATGTTTGCAAATTCTCTAAGAAGTTCTGCGAAACATTCATTGGCCACTGTTGTATGTGGGGCGATTATGTTCTTGTCATGAGAAACAACACCATAGACAGAGACCAGTGTAGTAGTGTCTAGCAGGCGTTGCCGTATCACGTCGACCAGCAGTTCATGGTGGTTTTGGAAGTCTGCACCAATGAGGGCACGGCGTATGTCAGCAATGAGGAAAACCCAACGAAACATGCTGTGCAAGCCTAGGTTCAGAGTGAGCGACCACGATTTGTTAACGGGGATCTTGCTGCCGTCAGCAGCTTGCAGGTAGGAGATCGGGGGTATTGTTCGGTTGGATTTTTGAGGCGGAATAATGCTGACCTCTGTACCAGTGTTCACCAGGTACTGCTGGCTTGTGATTTTGTCCATGATGTGAAACAGGCAACTTTTGGGTTGGCTTTGACCAGTCATCACCGTCAATGGTCGGCCTGCCTGTTTTCTTGTCACGAGCAAGGTTGGAGGCAGTGACGCGCGTCCATAACACGAGGAGCTTCGGCTGCGGTTTCGGTGATGTGGAGTGGTGTAATGACGCTCCACGGCACAAACCAGTTGTTCTAGGCGATTGCAAAGTGTGTAGATGGGAGAAGCAGGGTCAGATGGTGTTTGTGGAGCGGCACTCACGTTGTTAAATGACGGCATGACGTTGCACACGGACGGTGAGGCGACTTCCAAGACCTTGTCCGCCAGGCTGGCCGGACCGTTGAGGTCCAACGTGGACGCTGTGGCTAGTACCATTTGCACATTGCCAGATTGCCAGATTGCCAGGAAGGCACTGCAGAAACAATTGTCGCTGCAAGTTCTCATCAGTAATGGTGGTGTAGACGCTCATTAGTTGACGCATATGACGAAGAAGCTGGCTGGGCCAATGGTCACTTAATTCTTTTGCAGAGAGCAATTGCTGTATGCGGGAATGCTGTGATGCCATCGTTCGCTCCAGCAGAGCAGCCTTGAGAGTGCTGTACAGTGCAATGGAGGGGGGTCCGGAAACCAGGTCAAATACTTCTCCGGCAGCAGCTGGTTACAGCACCGAAACAACGAGATGGTACTTGCGTTCTTCTGTGTGCATGCCAGAAAGCACAAATTTGTAATCAGCTTGAATGAACCAGATCGAAGGGTTGTGGTCCCAGTTAGCTGGTTGTCAGATGGAGATTGCAGGGACGTCATGATCGGTCGTGCCAGTAGCTTCCGTGTTTAGGTGCGCCTCGTTACTCTGCATGACTCAACAATACTTCGGCAGTGCCGCAAAGGACTACGGGTCACCACTTTGTCGAGCCAAGTTGTACAAGACTGACACGTCTTTTCAGTAACAACGTCTACTTTATTCTGACAGAGAGTAAAAAATAGAGCAGGTGTGGGCAGTACACAGGAAGTGGCAAGAGTGAAAAAGATGAACGAAAAACAGAGAGCAGAGCAGCACTTTGCTTGGAATGCTGCTCTGCAGTTTTTTATGACCGCGGGGTGCGCGGTGGCGGCCGCGTCGCTACACTGTTACATGCATGACGCGCATATATGTGTTGTTTCAATGGAAGCTGCTTAGAACTGACTGTTCCTTTTGTTATGCTATTTAACAAGTGCTCTGTGTATGAAAATTCATTGATTTGATTTGATTTGTGGGGTTTAACGTCCCAAAATCACTATATGATTATGAGAGACGCCGTAGTGGAGGGCTCCGGAAATTTAGACCACCTGGGGTTCTTTAACGTGCACCCAAATCTGAGCACACGGGGTATGAAAATTCATGTCAGTGTGTGAGCACGTCAGTGAAGTTCTCTCTCTTGATATATATATATATGTACCCTGGCTGATGAGTGAAGTAGGTTTGCCCCCCCCCCCCCCACTCGCAAAAATGGTACGCCACAGCGAAACTATGAAAAAATAACATTTATTTAACTAATTTTACATCGACTATATTGTCAGCTAAATCAAATACATCACTAGTGATCAACACGATAAAGCAACCTTACACAATATTCCAATACACTCAATCAACATAGCAACAAACAAAAGGTAGCACGAAGGCGGCGGCAGCAATGCTCGACTCGCCACGAGGGCCCATGGACGAAAACCGACGGTGTCGTCCCCATGGACCCACAGCAAGAGACAACCGCTTACACCAGCAGCGACATGCCGAAAAGACTCCCCAATCTTTTCGGTATAGCCACCTAGCCTTCCCGCCAGGCGAAACTAGGTGACATGCGACTGCTGCACCATTTACCACTCAGCAGTTGTCATCCCTAAATGTGGCTTATCCGTGGAACATGTGTGTACCTCGTGGTGCAAATGACTTTACAGGGGGTGATAGCACCCCCACCAGGTTCAGAATTCAGAACTAAATATGGGTTTCGAAACCTCAAAGAATGTAGATGTCTGTGGAGCTAAGCAGACATAGTGAGCTGCTGACCCCTTCATCCCCCCCTCTGATGCAGCAGTTCTGCAAGAGATGCCTGGTTTATTTGTTTTTTAAGAAAAAAAAGTTCCAGTTGAAGTTTTTGACATTTTTCACTTTGGATGCCAAGCAATCCAGATTCAGGTGTTAAGGCAACATTAACGCTTTCGTTAGCACGCCTATCCAAACAGATCACTGGGGATCGACGCTTTGAATAATTGATTTCAGCATGTTCACTTTGTTTGTCATGCGCCCAGCACTTTCTAATTGTTAATCCAGTCACTGAACTTTTATAATCAGTTTGAATTTGCTTGTTTTTGCAACATAGTGATTTCTTCGCAGACCTTTGCATGAAACAATGTATGTGTGTCATTGAAAAAAATTCGCTCAGTTGACAAACTTGATGGAAGTGCGTGCCACTCGTGGTTAAGTTATCGTACCAGCAAAGCTCTGTAAGCAAAAAAATTTTTGTCAGTGTAATATCAAATTAAGGTGTCAGCTTCACAATCTGACGGTGTTGAGAGGCAATAACTGTCCAAAATTTATGCCAGCTATTCACTATAGAGCTGGGGCTTCAAGTCTGGGAAGATATATTCTATAAAAAATAATTTGTGGAGGCCTGCCGCTTGTATGAATTGTCTAGGTGGCCTTTTCAGCCAGTTCCCAGCAACTTTGGTTTCGTTTTTATTGTTATGTCAAGCACAGGGCCACACAGTGTCAATAGTCATTATGCTTGCATGAGTGCACACCTGCGTCACTCGAAACTATCTTGCAACCGCGCCTAAATTGAGTGACGATGGGCTTTGAGTCTGAAAATGACTGTACCTCAGCTTCATGCTTTCATGGCTCCGAAGTAATGCATCAACCTAAGACATTCGCAGCCGTTCAGGCATTGATTTTGTTTCTGACTTCTTTCGCCACACATCAGTACCTTTGTGCCCACTCTTTGGGCTACTCTGGTCACGTTCAAGGTGTAGATATTGTTGGGGCGCGTTGTGCGGGCACCGGCTGCAGATCTTCTTGTGACAAAAGGCTGGCGGAGCGCATCTCGGCCTGGCACTATGGAGGGGCGTAAGAAGTTCGAGGACTGAAAGCGATTTTTTTTCCCAATTCTATCTGCAAAAGTACAAATAAATATGCTTGGATGCATATACATCTGAAGAGAGGTGGCTCACGGAAAGAGGTGACGCTAGACGACCTAGTGAAGGTCATTCGACATCTGATTTATGGAGTGATTGTTCACTTCGTGGGCATCCATTTATATTAGAACACTTGCAACCTCTTATTGTAAAAAAAACTGAAAAAAATTATTGATTAATGTGCATGAGTGGACCTGTGTCTCGTAAAAAAGCCAAACAATGCTTCATTGCATAGCACGAGCCATGAAGCACCACCTTGGTTTACAATTTTGTTGTGTATGTTGATAGAAACATTTTATAGAAAATATTTTTTATACTGTTCCTGGGTCATTTATATGCAAAATGACATATTCTGAAATTTCTTTGTTCGGAATGTTTTTGCATATGTAGTGCTTTTATTGTAATGTTTACTAGCTGGCAATAAAAAATTGTACAATTATCACATTTTTATTAATTTCTAAAGATTTTTCTTGTGCTACATCATATTTTTTTTTTTAAAAGAGCATTTCGTTATGCATATTATGATATGTTGCAATCATGCGGGAGTGTTTTTCAAACAGGCAATAACTTCAATTGTCAAGATATATAAAAAAGATAATAATTTTCTTACGGTAATGAAAGAGTTCAGACTCATTTCTTTAAAAATGTAGCCTTGTTGTCTATCGAGGTCAAAAGATTTTCTCTCGCCTCAGAGCCCTTCTGTGAAAACATATCACCTGCAAAAATGACGAAATGTCCTTTGTCTCACTAAACATTGTGTGGCATTTCAATCAAATGTTTTTCTGAAAGTGTTGCCTATGTACTGCAGATCTAGTAACTAAGTAAAATGCAAAGGAGACATTGTTTCTTAGGGACAGCAGGGAGTCGTTCACTGGGCGAATCGATTGCTAGAGAGCACTGACATTGATGCTATATTTGAGTTAATGTGAAATTGTTTAATCTTTTCACTGTTGATTCTATTGCAAATACAAATTCCTCCCATGCATAGTTAGAAAGGCTGTGTTTGCTAAACATGTTATTTTTTGCCCAATGCCATAATCATGAAAAAAGAACGGTTGTTCACTATGGCTTCAGGCTGGCAAGCTGGAGTTTGGGCCCCTGGTGATGGACAACTGGGCACAGGGACCTCCCAACAGCCAGCAGAGTTTTCTTCGAACTCATGACAAGACAACGCACCGGCTGTGGTTCCTCTGGGGAGACAGCCGTGCTGGAGGCCACTGTGGCTGTCTCGGTGGTTGCTTCTTCTTTGACTCGGAGGAGGATGGATCGCCTGCGGTATGCCTTTCCAGTAGCCTTGCTTCAATGCCAAGCCTTTTATCTATAGGAGCAGGCAATGAGTGTCTGCACATGCCTACTTGTGGCACGCACGTACAATAAACCCCCATTAAGATGAATTCTGTTAAGATGAATTCTCGCTTAAGACGAACAACACGGCAGTGTTCATTTGGTTTCCCATAGACTCAGTGCAAAAAAAAAAAAAATCTGCCTAATATGAATCGCATAACAGGCCTCTTCTGTTAAGCTGAACTCTCAGAGTGGCCAACAACGGTAAAGATTCTGCGTAATGAACATTATAGTCTTGATAGGGGCATTCAAGCGAACAAAAGAAAGCAAAAAGAAAAAAAAAAAGAAAAACCTTCCTGGTGCAAAGACTCGAAAGCAGATTGTGACGAAGAGGAAGAAAGCGAGATAAGTGGAAAAGAAAGGTCAGTGCATAAACCTGGTATCCCCCTCACCCCTACTTTATAGGTGTAAAAAGGGCCGACTTAATCAGCAAAGAAAGCAACAAAAAGTGTACTTTTTATATTTTTTTGATGTTCTTCAGTTCCCCAACAGGAATACAGTAGAGAACAAAAGAACACAATAGCTTGGCTAGAGGGGAAGATGCAACAGAAAAGGGCAAAAAAAAGCCAAATGAAAATGAAAATGGGAACAAAGATTGTCTGTACATTATAATCACATCAAATGAAAACCACATATGTGGAACTATTACTCCCATCAGAGGAGTCGGATGCATTGTCATCGTCGTCACACAATGGCGCCGGAGCACACGTGGTCAGTTTGCATTAATTTGCATAAGGCCTGTGCGTGTAATATCAGTTCGCAGTGGAATGCTGCAAATTGTGATGTGCCATTTTTATTATGAAAGTGTACGACAAAGGAAGGCCAATTTTCACACTAAATAAAGCTGCATCTTCTCTTTTTTTGGTGCCCGAGGCTTGTGATCGTAAGTAGTGTGAACCAAGATCTTCAGCTGCACGTCGTTCAGGAAATGTTACTCTGGGCTGATAATACGAAAATATCTAAACTTCAAAGAAAAACTTGAAGACTTTCCTAAGCAACTTCGCGTAAATTGGCTTTGTCAAGGTGATAGAATGTAACGAAAGCATATCTACTAGTGATATCAAAGCCAGTAAAACAGCCTCTAAAAAAGGTGAACAGCCACAAGAATAAATTTTCCATATTTTTAAAGAAAAATTGTGCTTGTTCGTCCTTTTTTATCTTTTTAATAGCAAAATAGGGTCATGCTAAAGTTTTATTGTTAAAATGTGGTAGCCATTTATTCATGAACATATTTATTACGAACTCACAAAATTAGGTACTCGTTAGATCAGTCTAAATACTCTACTTACAAGCATAGTTTTCATCAAGCTGAGCCAATTAAATGCTTTTTGTTCCTTTCCTCCCCAATATAAGTATACTTCATTCATTGTTTTCAAGCAACATATTTAGGCGTACTTGGCATGTTAGCATTTTGTTTTGGGGGGCACTTCTGATAAGTCGAACTCCTGATAAGTCGAACTCCTGATAAGTCGAACTCCTGATAAGGCGAACAAATGATTGTGGTCTCTTCTAGTTACCGTAGTCTTCGTGGGAGTCCACTGTATATTCAAATTTATTGGGCCCAACTTGCAATTCCTGTGCCTCCCATATGCTCCACTTAGGAGGGATGGCTCTTCATGTTCTGCTGGTGCGGTTGAGAGTAGTTGCAACAACCTGGTTGTAGATGCCAAATGAACCATTGAGCCTCCTTGACACTAGCTTCCACGAGATGACCCTGGGAGCATCACAGAGGATGCACGGAAGAAGGTCCTCCAGTGTCAGGGCAGCGTGTTTCCGTATCATATCCCAAAAGATTTATGGGAGAAATGCGGCGCCGCTATTAGTTGAAGGCGGTGATGTGGTATAGGCGCGCTTCCGGTCTTTTTTGCTTATTTTTTTTTCCAAGCAAGATGGTGGCTTCTTCTGAGAGTTGGTTTTTGTGAAGCTAGTTGAAGTTGTACGTCGGAGAAATATGGGTTTCTTGCTGCCATTTGTTACGCATTGCTGTGCAGATCGCTTTACAGTGGACGAAGTTGGGCTTAACGTTAATTCGGGAGTGTGCAGTGCATGCTCCTTCAGCGTGGGATCATGTGTTCAACATGCCGCAAGAAACTTTCCATGTGCGCCGCCGTGCTAAAGCCATGCTCCATACAGAATGAGCCACCTGTGCACCACAGACATTAAGGACGCCACAATATTTAAGGTTTTTGCTGCCAAATGTTTATGCAGATCGTCTTGCAGTGGATGACGTGGTGAACTTGTGGATTGTTTTGCGACGAGCAAAATGTGGGGGGGTGTTGACACCCCTTGTAAAGTTATTTGTGCCGTGTGGCGCACATATCTCGCGCAGAAGGTGTATTTTGGGGTCACAACTATGGAGCGGTAGGTGGCGTTGTGTTCGCGAGCATAGATCACCACTTTCATCGTCATGGTTGTTACAGTGGTAGTGCCGGGGGTTACTCCTGGCAGCATGCAAGCCTTAGTGGTGGCATAGAAAGTTTAGCGAGTCCCTTTTGGCGTGAAAAGGTGGTGCGGACGGTTTCCTCCAGTGGTGGCTCTGCTGTGGACTGCACCGCGAGCCGTTTGCGGTTAAAGCCCCTTGATCTTTATCTGCGGTGGGCGCCTGTGGTGAGTCAGGCGTTAGCGACACCACTTTGTTTGTCACGTTGAATGCTGTTAATAATGTGTGAGGATGTCTTAGCACTCGGCGGACGATATTGTTGATCCAAAGTTTTTAAATAAATGTCTGTCGATTTGGTTCGGTCTGACTGCATCTACTGTGTCCGTTCGCTCCAAGAGCGTGGCATGGCTCTTTTCATATCGAGACCACACACTGGCTGCCCAACGTGGAGCTCTTGGAGCATTGGACAACAGTTTTCGTGGTTCGGTAAAAGCTTTTGTTAGAGCTAAGGTAGAGTAGGCCTAGCGGGATTTCTTCGCTAGCGTTGGCGGTGTTAAGTTTAAGGCTCTGCGCAGCCACCTGTCGCACATGGCACAACTAAGTGGATCGGGCCGTGGAAGTGGATCGGGCCTAAGAGATAGTGCTCTTTTCATATCAGAACCACAAGTGGTACATCAACGGAAGTGTGGGAGTGTGTTTATGCCCCTTTAGCATAATAATTATTATTATATGATTTGTTTGCCACAATTCAAGAAACCCTAGGGCTAATTTTGCTTGTGCACGAGTGCTATCTTATTCAATTGACTACGGTAAAGAAAAAAAGACGGGAGACGATTTGTAATATACGTTTTCATTCATCGCAACTCGGCTCAATGCCACTGCAAGTAAATTTGCTGCTATATAAATGTAAAAAAGAAGTGTGTTTCGGGAATAACTTCATCATAAACTTTTAAGTGCCTTCTGGTAAGTGTACCTCATTATGAAGAAGACGGGGAGCACTCATCTCCTGCCTTTCATGTGAACTAATTTAAAGTTATTCGGCACAATGATTTGAGCACGTTATAGAACAGCTTATGTACATGTCAGCGTGCAATGCATCCATTGCAGTGAATACAGCAAGCATAACCAAGTACCGTATTTTCGCGCGTATAACCCGCACCAAAAACCCAAAAATTTCAGTGGCAAAGTGGAGGTGCGAATAATACGTGGGGTTTTTTCTATAGTGCTGCTTCACAGCAATGCGTGCTGTGCTGTGAAGCTCCTTAACAGTGTAGCGAAGGCTACGGAGGCGGTTTCCGCAAATTCGTGTTGCTCCGCAAGTAGCACGGCAGCTTGCGGCCAATTTTGGTTTCGCTTGCTTGCATCGTTGAAGCGTTTAGAAAAACATTTGGGGAGAGACAATTCGATTGTTCAGTGTAAAATCTCACTCTCACACCACAAGTATGTTTTTTGGACGTTCGCAGCCGCTCAGTGACCCTCCACATGTCCCCACGTCACAGACGCCATGTTTACTTTTGGAAAGGGCTTGCCGAAAAGGTGGTGCTGTCTAAGAAAGTTCCATAATAATTAAAGTAAGTTCCATAATAAATAAAGCAGTATTTATTTCAGCAAGGCAAATGAGGTATTACAGTGGCTATAGAGATATTATCAGTAAATTAATGTACTACTTTTTGACGCAATAGCAGGCATGCATTTTGGTTCTGTTGTTTCCAGGGTGCTGTTACAGTGTACTAGAAGGGGTAGTGCTGTCCAGTTGTCGCCGAGTGTGAGCGCTCTTTACCTCACTGATACCGCTAGTTCTCCACATCTCGACCCGTTCGCCAAGCCTAAGTCGATCTGTTCTGTCACCGTGAGTAGCGTACGGCAGCAGGCCTTCACGGCACAGCAAAAGCTCAAGATCATCGTAATCGCCGAGGAATTCGGAAATCGCGAAGCGGGAAGACGGCACGATGTGGACGAGTTTTGCATGTGACTGTGGAGAAAGAAGAAAGAGAGCCTACAAGCCCCGCACCGCGACCGTAGGTCATTTCGTGGCCCCTAGACCGGTGCCTACCCTGAGCTGGAGGCGGAGCTAGTAAAGTTCATCGAAGATCTGAGAAGCAGAGGTCACGCCGTATCGACCGAGATGGCCCAAGTGGAAGCACGGCGACTTTCGAGGGAGCTAGGCCTACCTCACGAGTTCCGTGCAAGCCGCGGATGGCTGCACCCCTTTGTGAAGCGGCAAGGGCTCTCAATCAGACGGCGGATTACAACATTTCAACGCTTGCCGGCTTCTTATGAGGAGAAGCTGCTCAAGTACCAGAGATATGTAATTGGGCTGCGAAAGCAGCACAATTACATTTTCTCGCAAATCGGCATTGCGGATGAAACTGCTGTTTATTCTGAAATGCCGTTGGACACAACGATTGAGAAGACGGGCAGCAGTTCGGTGAGCAAGCTGACCGGCGGGAACACGGAACTGCGCATCACAGTCTTGCTTTGTGCCCTTGCTGACGGCACGCAACTGCGACCGTACATTATCTTGAAAAGGAAAACTCTACCAAAGGTTCAT